AACCCAAAGGAAAAAAATGCTCCCGCCTCCGAATACACAGGAGGGACCTCCTACTCTAAACTATCATGCTTTATAAGGGGGGTGGAAACTATGTTGTCCAGATTGGTGGGGTTTAACCAAATTTCAAGTATCACAATTCCTGGTTGTACTAGGCTTTTATACAAGAAGTAGACATCAACCAGTTTCTTCAGGGACGGTGCCTACAGGTAATGAACTCAAACCCATCTAGAAGTGTTACATGCTCTCTGCAAACAGAAAATTAAGAATACTTTGTTAATAATTCTCAGGTAGAGCTAAGTGGAAAATAGTCACTTAATCGTCTCAAGTGAGCAGCCACACTTTTAGACATGTATACATTCAGTGAACTACATGTGCTGGGGAACTTCCATCAGAAAAGATATGTGCACGTGCCACCTCAGATATATTGATGCAGAAGAATACGAGAGTGGTCTGACTGGGTCACACCACAGGTCCATCCAGCTCAGAGTCCTATTCTCAAAAAAGTCAAAAAGAGAATGCCTAGGGAAGTGTATATGTGATGTTAGTCAAGAATATTTATCCCGCATTCAACCATTTGTGCCTCATTGACTTTTTGAATGAGTTGTCTTACATACAATTGTTCTCAGTGGAATTTCCTTCCATGAATTTGTCTAGCTGCCTTTTGAAATCATGTAAACATTCAAGATCTGAAAACACCCCATGATAAGGACTTGCACAGCTTCACTGCATATTGACACAGATGGATTAAGGCAAGCTTGTTTCAATCTCTCTCCTGGACCTGAATTACACTCTGGGAACTTAAGTGCTATTTACAGTTCACTGTTGGTCTCCTACTCTGGTGACTTGGTTGAACAAAATCTGAAGGCCAAATACCTGCCAGTTCCACTGAAGCTTAAATTAGTTGTCATTACACTGGGGGGTGTGACATCACAGTGCTGTGCCAGGACTGAAGTCTTAAAACTGGGCCACTTATTGGACCTGATCATCCTTGCCTTTTGCAGACTGTTTTATTTGTTCCTTCATATTAAGTGCATTTCCTTTGTAACACTTGCAGTTTTCTTCTTTTTTTTTTTTTTTTATTTTTTTTTTTAATCAACAGAAATAGCATGTATTAATCACAAGTACAACAAGAAGAATAAGAAATTTACATTTTTAAGAATCCAATCAAACTAAGCTGATGTAAGGTTTTAGAACACTGATATCCAATTTCTGTTTACAGGGAAAAATAAAAATTCTTTTACAGATCTTGGAGAAGAAACATCAAGGAAAGGTATTAAGTATCACATAACTTTTTGATAGAGGACTGGAAGAAAAAGTATTGCTGGTAGCAGTTTGGATCTTTAACTCACGCTGAACAATGAAAAATTAAAAGATAGAAAGGAAAAGAATCTGATTTGTAGTAAAACATTTTGGTTTTGTCTTTTTTATCTGTCTTTTTATCTGTGTGCAAACCATCCATTTGTTTGACTGTAACCCACAGGTCATTTTCTTGCCATTGTACATGCCATTCCCACTGTGGTATTACAGATAGGCAAAGCAGATAAACAGAAGAAGCAAATAAACAATCTTCAGTGTGATGAATGTAATTTATAATTAACATGGACGGGGAAAAGTTTTTAAGCAGAGGCTTAGAAAAGTTACAAATCTTGATGTTCAACTTGTTTCTAAATTCGTCTCTGAACCACTGATAAAATAGAATGAGAAAAGTCTTTATAAAGTAAATGATATATTATTACACAAAATAATAGGAACATGCAGTGTTGTAAGTATGAATTAGACATCCTGTGGCTGACTTTTGCATCATATAAACATACTACTCAGTCCAATGATGAAAACAGAGCCAGGAATTCAGTAACCAGTGTCCCTTGTCCAGCTTTTAGTGACTCCCAAAGATCCTTGGTACCAAGGACCCGTATGGAACTACTCATGTGAGTAAGGCAAACTGCCAGAGTGAGCTATATAGGATGAATAACAACATATTAACCAGAAATTAAGAATATAAATATATGAAGCACAATTGAAGCTCACTCAATTTAATTAGATTTTTCTATTGTTGGTATTGAGTCACAACGGGAAAGGAAGACTTACTTAATATATGCCTAAAACGATACATACAAGTACATATTTATTAATCATGCTACCAGTACATTGCATCTGTTGAGCAAAAGCCTAACAGAAAGTTTATGATATTGGACTTGATAATTTTTGAGATGTGGAATTTTCTTCTAAAACCTTATGAATTTTCAAGGACACTTGAGTGCTGACAATACATCAGGGTTGTTTTTTGCCCTTGCATAGTGTGGATACATGCTTAAGGAGATGATCATCCTGCTTAGTAGTTTGGTTTGGTTGTCAGCAGCAGACATTTGATCTTCTTCATTAAAACATTAATCCATAAAGACACAATATCATTTATTTCCAAGTTATTGCTGAGCCAGAAAAAAATAACTTCATTTTGATGGAGTGCCACTCACTTTCGCCATTTACTCAGCTGGCCCCTTTGTGTGTTAAGTCCTATAACTATGATATTAATGATCAAGCCATGAATATCTCTTCAAAATTAATTAATACCAACTAAGTCAAATTAAGCCCATAAAATGAGCAGTTTTAATTTCTCTTGTTTATTACACTGGATCCTAGCATAGGCAGATAATTAAAGACATTTCTTCATGGTCCTTGGTGCTTTGATTAAGGCTGTTCTCAACAGTCTGACATTCCACCAAATGCATGTCTTTTCTTTTTGCTTTTTGCTGTAAATTTAACACTCTTCCAATCAATGCAGAGGGCTTGTGAGACAGCGACCATTTACCTTGTGTATTCACTTCTCTGCTCAGAAGGTGGACCATATTGTCTTCCCCAAATGATAGCTTCTGCAAAATAAGTCTTTCTCTTTATCATACTTGTCTTGCTAGTAGTTCTGCCTGCTTGCTGTTCTTATGACTAGAGAATGAAAGCAATGGGAGATGCAGACCAGCAAAACAAGGAGATACCATGAAGTTTATTAGTAGGAATTCTGGTAGTGCTACAGTGCAAGGAAAACCCAAAGAATCTGCCATTACCTAGAGTTCCTTCATTGTTTAAGTTAGCCCAGGGATCTTTTCTGCTCCTGAAGAATCCACTTAGTAGGATATTCAGCCTTCTAGTAATCTTCCCCAGGCACATAATTCTTCATTCTTAGAGGTTTAGAAGAGAATATGATAATCCCTGAGCTCTAATGCATTGTGTTACTTGGAATCGGTGTGGATTACAGAGGTTCTCACCATCTTTTATAGCATTGACATGTTATAAAAGTATAGTATGCAGCTTCAAAGCTTCAAATTCATGTATGAATTGTTATTTTGTGTACATTTTAAGGTCATTCCAAGAAAACAGTCATATGAATATAAAGACTAGTTGACCTCCCTACAAATTTGGATATCTGTGAGGCAAAACATAGGGTATAATTTTAGAATAGATAATTTTTCATTTATAAATGCTCAGCAAATCAAGTACATTGGTAAATGAATCAAATTTATGAAACAACCACAGCTCTGCGTGTACAGTCATTACATGTGGCTACCACATAGATGTCTTTGTGACACAATATGTTTTGTTTAATAACCTGGGTTTTATACCAAATGTTATTAGGGAAAGTAGTAGGCACCAGCAGTATAAATAAACAGAAATTAAACTGCTTTTCTATATATTATACATTGACTAAGTCTTTGATCACAATAATATAACTTTGATTATTTTATGATAGAATTAAAAATAACGTTTACTCACTCTCAATAGTTTGCTAAATCATCTAAATCTAAGTTTGATAAACACAGCTAACCAGACTAACATGTGTTAAGTGAACCAGAACTAAAAATTACCTAAACACAGTTTTGTTGCTGTCCCAAAATTCCATAGGAATACTTCTGCCCACCAGCCGACATGTCCATGGAAAAAGTGCATCTGAAATCCTAAAACTAACATTTTCCTTTTAGCTAGCATAAATGTCCTAAATGTAAAAATCTGATCCCTTAATAAATTAGAGATTATGTAAACTCTGCAAAATGCTTTTTATAGGCAAGTACTAGTCCTGACGAAAAGCTTTTGTGACTAGGTTTACTTGTGTCTCTTTTGTTTCCTTGAACAGGAGGAAGATCACTCCAGGAAATAAAAGTCCCTTGTAAGTAGAAATTAAGGGACCTGGTAAATTCAAAAGGCATTTGCTTTTAAAATTATGGTTTATGTGTGTTGTCTCAGCCAGTCCAAACTTGTTTCAGGACGATTAGTAACTGTGTTTTCCTGTGTGTTGGAGTACTCAAGGATTTTACATTTGCTAGTCAATGCACAGTCAACCTCATTACAGCAAAGAGATTAGCCTCGACAAACACAGACACAACTTCTGGGAAAAATTATACTAGTGCTCTCTTAGGACTTGTACTTCTTGCACTAGATAGTGAAAGAAAAAGGATTCAGGTGTAGAATGCTACTTTTGCAATTCCTTGCAATAGTCTTTATTTATAGAAGCAATCTCATCAGCAGCACTAGTGGGAATATTTCCTTGACTAAAGCCTTCTCCAGCTTCTGACAGATGAAGATTCAGAGACATCATTAAAGATTATTTCTACTAATTTCAAATCTGGATCTTTAAAAAAAAAAAAAAAAGGAGTTGGACAAAAGAACCTGATTACACACTGTGACTATTTTAACATCATAAATCTACAGGCAGAAATTAGTTTTCTCTGACTCAACTTTAAGTGTACAAGAATTTGTGTTGTTCAGTTGTAGGCTGGTAAGAAATTGTGTGAACACAGGTAAAAGCCATGCTGAACCTGAGCTAATAAGAATCTCCGAGAAGAAAATATGTTAGTTGAGAACTAAGGCTGCACTATGTGCATTCACATAGCTTCCATACAGATTTATCATGTATATTTAATTTTCAGTCTTTTGGGACTATCTCTTTCCCCCTTTTTTTTTTTTTTTTTTTTTTTTTTTTTTTTTTTTTTTTTTTGAGGAAAGACAAGCAACAGAGAATGGGGGACTGCACCATCCAAAGAGGAATGTGGTATAAATAACACTCAGGCAGGCAGCCTGTTCAACAAAGGTACTTAGTGCCTGAGTTTTGCAAGCCCAGCTCTCCTCTTTCAGGGTGCCAGATGGCTTCTGCTCAAGCATTGTGGTGCTTCTGAAGCAGGTTCCCTACACCAGGTCTGGAATAAACATGAATGGAGTCTGATCATGTCTGCCCTCCTGTAGTGACATGAACACTCCCAGAGGCATCTGTCTGGTCCAAAGAGAGACTTGAATAGCCTCAGGTTTTCTTTACACTGTCTCAGCCGTGCAGCATGCCTAAAGTCTACACAGCATGACACGCAGTTGGAGGTGAGGGGTAGAAAACCAAAGTACTAAATTCTGAGTGATATCTGCTGGGCAGGCAGAAGATCTGGATAAATTAGCTTCCATCTATTTTGCATTGCTTCAAATCTATTTCTACATCTGCATTCATTCCCTTAATGTCTTCTCACACTGAGTTCCCATGCAGAAGTCCAAGGAGCTGTTAAGCAGTCTGGGAAATCATTGCAAAAAGAATTTGCAAAAGTAATCAGGCAAATGTTTAGAAAAAATAGCACTGCTTATACTCTCTTCTGTTCAAGCAAACGATTTTACTGTCAGATATTTTCAAACAGAAAAGCTGAAGTACAGGCTGGTGGTCATTAACAGCTTGCAGAATATGAGTTCCAAAACAGGAACCTGGATCTAAGTAAAGACCCCAGCCAGTCAGAATGGAAGTGCACTGTATGACCTATTTCTCCCACCTCACATAATCAAAACAACTCAAACTTCTCTTCTTGAATACATGACAGTCACAACACACTAATTGCAACTAATCTGCAGGCCAAGAATTATTCAGAACAATTACATGGTAGAGTTTCCAATATTCATGTATTTGAGAAAGTTTCCACTTGTAGATTTTAAACTGGAAAAGTACAGATGCTAAAAAAATACATTGTGCTGTGCAAATAATCTTCTAAACTTGGACTTTCTTCTCCCTTCCCTTCCCTTCCCTTCCCTTCCCTTCCCTTCCCTTCCCTTCCCTTCCCTTCCCTTCCCTTCCCTTCCCTTCCCTTCCCTTCCCTTCCCTTCCCTTCCCTTCCCTTCCCTTCCCTTCCCTTCCCTTCCCTTCCCTTCCCTTCCCTTCCCTTCCCTTCCCTTCCCTTCCCTTCCCTTCCCTTCCCTTCCCTTCCCTTCCCTTCCCTTCCCTTCCCTTCCCTTCCCTTCCCTTCCCTTCCCTTCCCTTCCCCTCCCTTCCCCTCCCTTCCCCTCCCTTCCCCTCCCTCCCTTCCTTCCTCCCCTCCTTCCTTCTTTCCTTCCTCCCTTTCCTTCCTTTCCTTCCCAGAAAGCGAAATACTAGATAAAGACACTAAATAGTATGTGTTTTCATTGAGTATTCAAGAAAACTAATTCAAATCTTTTGTCTTCCTCATATAGGCTATGGGCTTGGTCCCAGGTGCCTTACTTCCTAGGTAAGTAATCTATATTATAGTGTGGCTTCATTTTCACAATAAATCCCACACTATGGACCCAGTAAACATTTTTTCTTTGTGGAAAAATACATTGTCAAAAGTTCCCAGCCAGTTCTAATTGTAAGTTTGTTTCTGGAAAGGGAAAAATGAAAGGGAGGAAATATAACCATATTTGTTGGGCAAATCACATGCTAAATGCATCCTTCTGGTGGAACAAAGAGACATGGAATGATAGGCAGTGCCATCCAAAAAATCAGTCTTTGAGTTGGGAGCAGGAGATTTATGTTCTAGTCCTGGCTCTGTCACTGGCTGATTTGGGCTTTACTTTCCATCTCTTTGCTTTTTTATATCCCTTAAGCATCTTGCCTGTTTAACTTATTAAAACTTTGGCATAGCAGTATTCCCTTAAAATCTGTACCTGTTCTGTGAAATCCTGGACACTCCATGGTATCAGTATTGCTGAATAAGCAATACCAAGCTGTAGGGACCTCTCAGCCTAGATCTGAGTAGGCAAAGGTAAGAAGAGTTACTACCGCAGTGCAAATAAGAGCTTCTTAGGAGCAGTTTTTAAGAGCCACTTTTAGCAAACCAGGCTGAGCTGCTTCCAGCACAGCTTTCAGCCTCTAGTTGCAAACGCAACCCTCCTACTCATCTCCATTGTCCAGGCAGTTCTCTGTCTGTCTGCATAAATTTAGAGCTTTGACATGAAAAGGATGGGGCTCTTCTCATCCTCAGGAACTTTTCCAGTCAGGGACTGATACTGTTACTATTTACAACCAAAAGAACTTCTTTGATGCCACAGAGGGATACCAGCATAAGTCAAGGTCAATGTGTTAACATCAGCCCCCAGTGCAAAACATCAAACCTTTGAAACACCAGTACTTGACAGGTTGGTTGTTGGTGTTTTTTTTCCACTTGGCTGTATGGAGTTTAGGCATTAGGTCAAATTCTGCTCTCATAACACTGTGAGTCTGGGAGATGTGAAGTTTATATCAAAGACAGATGACTCTATCAGCACTGTGCCTGTCACATTTATCAATAAATATGTTGCACTTATTGCTAAATGCATAATTTATTCTCAGTGTTAAAATGACATGATATCTTTATAAAACCAGAAATAATTGTTCTTCAATAATACATTAACAGCTATGCATGCGTTTTATCGAACCTTTCTTTGTGTAAAAAGGGCTGTTAGATTGTGACACCAGATTTTATTTCTTACTCTTTTTTCATTTAATTTTTAGCCATTTAGGAGGGGTATTTTTCTATTTTTAGTTGCCTTGACTCATGCTTGAATTTGCTAAATTACTCTTCCCAAATGCTCACAGGGAGAGTCTTCTGAATTAATGGATAAAGCTAAACTCACTCCCATTCTGCAATTAAATTAGTATATTACATGCAATTATTTATGATTCATCCAAACTGGCTTCCCACGGCCCCATAAATCTTACAGAGTCAGAACATTGTGGCATCATCTCTGCTGATATTTTTCATTCTTTTGCCAGGCATAATGATCCTTGAATTGGAGAAAAACCGTTCCTACTCAGCAAGGACCACTTACACTGCTGGTGCTGGCAAATTTAAGGAACGGTGTCCAGCCTGGCAGAAGGAAAGTAGCTATTTCCAATGGGACTAAGCACCTACATCCAAAACTGCAGTCTTCTAAATTCCTGTTCATTTTTTGCCACACCCTGGAGGTGCCTAAGCTCCGCAGGCGCCAGCTTTTCACATTAAAATTCCCCAGACTCCTGAAACTCTGCTGTGGGCATGTCCAGAAATGCCTCTTGTGTCATGACACTGAGTTAACTCATACCACGGCACCGTCAGATCCAATGAACTCATCTTTCCTGCACCTGCACCCATCTCGCCCAAGGGGTAGAGCCAGTGAACATTCCCAAAACACAGAGAGTTGCTGCTCTGCAAAGTGCAGCACAGCAGTTGCTGCTCTCCTCTGCCGCGTTCAAGAGCTCCTTGGTCAGAGCTTTTACCCTAGATGTGGGAAAGCTGGGTTTTACACCCTCCTGTGCCCGAGGAGATCAAAACCCACACCCTCGCCACGAGGATGGGGCTGTTCTGGGTGAAAGTGCTCTCCACCCTGCCCTTTGAAGCTCTTCCACCCTACAGGAGCAAACCACAGCTTCACAACAGCTGTGGAGAACATGAGTGAGCATGATGCTTCAAGGGGTTATGGCCCTTGTGGGAGAAGGCAAGGGAGCTTTTGGTGTCGTTTCCCTTCCCTAAGGAGTTTCTGGATATCATGTCCTAGGCAAAATGCATAAATGGTCTTTTTGGAACACATATGTGAAGGGGCTTCCCTGGTGCTGCTCAACGGCATGCTGAGGAGGATGGCAGCAGCGCCTGTCTCACCCCTCATCAGTCAACACTGCTGTTGGAGCCTCAGCACCGCTGCAGCTCCTCCTGGATGCCTCCCCCAAGGGCCTCGTGAAAGCCGTGTTTCTCAACAACTCAACTCCCCAGAGAGGAAAAACAACACCACCATCAAACAATGACCCAGCGCAACATTTCAAATACATAGAACGTTCGTCACGCTCCACCTCCCAGCCGCCCTGCAGACCCACACCACCATGATAGCTGCAGCCACCCCAGCAGAGGCCAGCAGGCACCCCACACCCCCATGGCAGCCCTGCTGCCAAGCGGCAGGGACACTGCTTGTCCTCATTTTCCATGGTCCAGGAGCTCTGCCCTCACAGCTTGCTGAAGCTATTGTCTGTTTGACAAATGGCTTGATGAAAATGGTGATCTGGGGTTTCTTCTTTCAGGGGTTTTGGAGAACGAGTTGCACATTTCTCAGTAACATGTTTCTATCTGAGTGACAATCCTGCCAGCCTGGGGCTGCCCACTTCTGCTAGCAACCATTGTTTCCCAGAGTAATTTTTGTGAAGTGGTAGCAGCCTCTGGGACCCCAGTTCACACTGAGCTTTTTGTTTCGCCTTGACTGTTGGAAGTCTCCAGTGACTCTCCAGTTTCTAGCAGTGAAGTCATATGCGACACTCAAGTGCCCTTCAGTCTGTGTCCTTTTTCATGTGATAGTTTGGATTCCTTGGCCCACAGAGACAAATCACTACCCCAATTCATAAGCTTGAGTGAGTCCTTTGGCTCGCCAAGTGCAGTATTCAAAGTTTAATTCTTGATCTTCAGTGTGCTTGTTTGACTTCCTTAGGCATGTTTCCAATGGAAGTAAAACTTGCAACATCAGTCTGTCTGCATATCTGTGCCATCCACAGTGCATTTTGCCTCCTTTGTCTGATGTCAAAGAAACCTGGCAGGGAGATACAGGTCTGACAGGAGAGCTGGGGAGCAATAACAAGTACTCCTCAACAGGTAGCACCAGCTGATTTCTGTAGTGAAATATGTGATGCATGATACTTTTATGTCATTGCCAAAATGCTCTTCAGAAGCAGGTTAGAGATATACAAAGATAATAAAAAATTTCATTAACTAGTCAACTGACAGACAGAAACAGGTAGGAAAACAGCCTTCAATACTGTTCATATTCAGGGAATTAATTATTCCAGGGCTAGCAACAGAACTGGGGTTAGTGTTTGAGAGGGCAGGCACTGCACGAACAGGTTTATGAATGCGTCTTGTGCAGCTTACCAGGCGAGGACAAGGGCTGGACCTGGCTGGAGGCAACTGTTTATAGCTACCTCAGGAGAGGTTAAGGGTATATTACTAATGCTAGGGATTCATACCCGCCCCATAAATAACTATGTAACATTGCTTGTGGAATTCATTTTGATCTGCTCATTTATAAGAATATGTTCATCTAACTTTAACCCTTTTCACTCCGAAGCAACTGCTAGGTTGTCTCTCCAACTTTGGTATTCCCTGAATACAAGAGTCGTACATGTTTTGTTTTTCCTGTGGCTTGCAGTGTTCATGATTTTATGTTATAGAAGCTGACTACACTATAATAGCTTCCAAATACTCCCCCTGACAAGGATAAAGCAGCCTATGCTGAGCTCTGGGCTGCTGTGGCCAGATTGTTGCCAATATCAAAGCCTGTTTAAAAGTATCTGGGGGATCTCAGCTCTGCTCTGCAGATACAGATGTTTAACATTGCATTACCAAAGTTTTATGCAAGCTTCTTCTACATGACTGGACTGAAACCTTTTCAATACACTTAATGTTGCAGAATCAACTATTGTTTCAATAAGTCTATCTTCCGTATGTCTTCTCCTGGGCTGGCGGGTTCTGCTGGCACGTACAGTGGCTTAATGTTTACCCCTCCTCCAGCAATCCCTTCCACTTCCAGAGCATTTCATCCGTGACAGGCTTCTAGCAGCTCCAGCAGTCCATGGCTCCTCTTTGTTTTACTCCTCGTGGCCTACATGGTTGTGGGACCACTCAGAGCTGGGGACCACGACCAGTCTGTTTCTAGATGGTCAGCCCTGCAGAGCACTGTCCCTGCAGGACCCCGTTGGGTGGAGAGGGTGGCTTGGAAAAGCCCAGGCCTGCTCAGTGCCATGGCTGGCATGGATCACAGAGCTGTCACAGCTGTGCTCCTTTATATACTATTCAGCTGTGCTTTTGCTATTTTCATGCACTAAACACCTGCACTTCTCAAGCTAGAGGGCCTTGTTGATACTTAGTAATAAAAACACTGAAACTCAAGCTCAGTTGAAAGAGAATCTCTCTGGTCATATATCAGCAAACTTCAGGAGATTCCATTGTTTTAATTTGTTTTTACAGCCTGGGAAATATTTCTTTCAATCATATCCTGGGCTGCATAGAAAGAAGCATGAACAGAAGGTTGAGGGAGGGGATTGTCCTCCTCTACTCTGCTCTCATGAGACCCACCTGGAGTACTCTGTCCAGTTCTGGAGTCCCCAGCACAAGAAAGACATGGATCTGTTAGATGAGGTCCAAAGGAGGCCCACAGAAAAAGATCAGAGGTCTGGAACACCTCTCCTATTAGGACAGGCTGAGAGAGTTGTGGTTGTTCAGCCTCAGAAGAGAATGCTCTGAGGAGGCCTTATAAGAAAGTTGGAGAGAGACTTTTTACCAAGGTCTGTAGTGACAGGACAAGAGGCAACAGATTTAACCTGAAAGAAGGTAGGTTTAGACTCAACATAAGGAAGACATTTTGTACAGTGCGGGTGGAGAGGCGCTGGCCCAGGGTGCCCAGAGCAGCTGTGGCTGCCCCCTCCCTGGAAGGGTTCAAGGCCAGGTTGGACGGGGCTTTGAGCAACCTGGTTGAGTGGAAGTTGTCCCTGCCCATGGCTGGTTGGAACTGGATGATCATTAAAGGTCCCTTCCAATCCAAACCATTCTGTGATTCTATGTTTCTATTATTCAACGGAGAAAATGAGCTAGCTGCACTGACAGGAAGTAGTACCTTGTAAGGCTTTAAACTAAGTCTGTTGTTATTCTATTTGTTTGATATTTAGCAGCTCTTTCAAGGCTGACTGACATCCTAACTTTGGTAGTGACTGGTTGAAATCACAGCCTCCTTTCTTTCAGCAAGATTGCAGACCAACTAATTTCAATAATGTCCTTCATGACACCATACATCAGGAGGTGAAATTTGATGAAGCCCAACACAAAACTATAAATAAAATAGAAACACTGGTAGATAGTTTAAAACTACATCCGGAAGTTTTATGAAGAGCTAAATACAAGGACCACTTGAGTAATGTTAAATCATACAGTAATGAGATATCTTGTACCTTTAATTTTAAGAAACATTGTATTTGCATGAGAAAGAACACATTTGCAATTGCATCTGAAAAACGCAGAATTTCAGCTAAGGAAATATCACTGTATTTTCCAAAATAATTCCATTTTCCTCAGATTTCCATCAGAAAGGACTATATTCAATCTTTTAAATAGAGATGTTTTCTCACACTTTCAGCACGCTTTAGAACAGGTATCACTCCATGTGGCAGCAGATACTTTGGAGCAAGACCTTAGGCAAGCATGAACCAACAATCTTATATCAAAATCAGCAGAGGTGAGATGGCTTAAATCAGTTTAGAATATGGCCTATCAATTATATAATATGCTCTTTGTAAGTGATAATGTGACAAAAATGTGGCTTTGTTTTATGAATTAATTAATCTGTGCTAACTACTAATGGAGGAGAAAGGATGTTCAGACACAGGAAAAAGTATACAGCAGCTTTAGAATATGATGAAAGTTTTACACAACAACCTCCCTGGTAGGACAGATTTTTGACATTTTCGGGTACAGCAGACTTAGACCTTGTATACATGTTGCACATACAAGAATATACATGAAGCATTTTGTGACTATTTTCATGGGAGATATATTTACAGCAGAGGAGTGAACTTGTGGACTGCCCCTGTTTTATCCTGCAAGAATTCACAAATATTTTTAAAAGGAAGGTCTATTTAACTGTCAGTCCCTGCTCCTTTCCTCGGGGGGCACACAAAGCCTCACTCCAGGAAAGCACTGGCCACCAACTTAGGTCCAGGAATGAAAGCTTTACCCCCATATATCTTCAGGGGAGACCCAGGTACTTCTGAATGAGAACCAGAATAGACAGCGTGCTAAGCTTTGACCTGCCTAAAATCAGTACACTGTGCATGCAGCTGACGAAAC